GAGGGAATGGCTTATGGATGCTTCATTTCTGTTTTTCTACATGTTTTTCTGTTGTCACCTTTGTTTTGAAAATCTGTATTGTTCTGTAAATGTTGATTGCAAGAAATGTTGGCTGAAGAAGTTCTTTCAGTTGATGGAAGTATTACAATAGGTGTGAATAGTGATAAAAGTGGTAACTCAGGCTGTGACGTGGAATTAGATGTTCTTTCAAAGTGACAGTAATGTTAATCATTGGTTTATGTTGGTTTTATTTGCTAGGCAACAGCTTAACAGTGATAGCCAGGTAACCTAAACCTTATATATGGAAAATAGGAAGGCTCGACAGTAGGTAGAAAAATAATGACACCCTTTTGTTGCTCCATACTATGATTTGCCATAGCAGAATGAGTCTGTATTAGCTTTGGGCTCTTCAGATCAATTTCTTCTATAAACAGTATATACAGTATGCTGCTTTAGTTGCACCATACCTTAGCTTTCCTTAAGTAGACAATGCATATATTCCATGTCATAGGAGGGCATCTCATGTTTCATACAGGAAAACTATATACTTAAATTTTCTAACTCAGCTAACTTTCTAACAGTTACTCATGCTGCGTAAGTTACCAGATAGGACTGATACAAGATAATCAGATACCTTTTTACTCTTCTGTCTTAACATAAAAAAAACCCTTTATGTTATTGCTATCAAAACTTTTCATTTATAAAAAGAGGATTGGAAACTTCAGTATAGCATAGTAGGATAACTGTAACAAAGTATATTTATGAAGATGTGGATTCTGCATTTAAATTGCACACTGAGCCATGCCTGTCTTCTCCTTTGGCATGACTCATGTCTCTTAACACTTGCAAGAGAATCTGCTTAGGGTGACAAGAAGTTAGTTACTTCATTATATTTCACATGCTGTGTTAACAGCAAGAGAAGTAATCCACCTTTTTTTCAAGAAGGGCTATTTAGCTACTTCCCAAGGTTTCTCTGAGTCCTACAAAGCAAAACCCCAAAACAACAGCAAAAAAGCATCTTAAAATCAGCTAGAGAAAACACTGATACAAAGCAACTTTGCGTGCTATGTCTCAAGCATATTGCTTTCTCCTGTGGATTTAAGATCCTAGAGGAATTTGTTTTGAAATAGACCAAGTATTTCTGCCTGGTCCTCCCTCATATAAATAATTCTGGTAGGTTGGAGTGCTGATTTGGGAAAATTACAGAGGCTGTATCAAAAAGAATAGAAAAATACGAACCTTTTCCTGTGCTTGCTACATTGATTGTGGCCACTGTGGTAAGGCTCAAAATGTTTCATGCATGCACGGAGAGAATACAGGCTCAGTCCCATTGGCTGGCCGAGTTAGTCCCTAAGACGCATCAGAGATGTCAAGAAAGCTGTGTTTTATTAAGAAGATGATAACAAAACTGATGAAGCTTAGAGATAAAAAAAAAAAATGCGTACTTACACTAATGGGTTGTGGCCAGAAAAATATTGGCAGAAACACCAGCATAAAACTGTATTAGTAGTGCTAGCAAAGCTCAGAATTAGTTTTTAACACTGGCAGTAGTTTTATGAGGGGAATGAAAAAGGAAAAATTATAGTTATTTTGGTATCTTCTCAGGCTTCCTGGTTTTAGAATCCAATACTATTCCCCAAATTCTGTTTTTGTTATTCTACAAGTATTTAAGATACTTGTAGAAAACATTGAAGTATCTCTTAAATTTGGGAGATGTGATTTGCTAAAAAGAATGAAATGTGTGTTTGTAAGATTTCTGGCAAATAACATTTAAATCATTGCAGGTAGTCTTATTCCCAAAAGGCTGTGGAAAATGTTGACTGCTGATGTAAAAAGTGTATTAAGACTGAAAAGCCGTCTTCATCATCTACATTTTGTTTGTGGAACATTGCATATGCACTAGGACTTACATTTTAATGACCAGTTTCATTTTGGTGGTACTTACAGACTCCTTTGGTTTTGTCTGTTGTTTGGGGGTTTTGGTTTTGTTAGTGGTTTTTTAATGCTTTGATAACAATTACTGGTGTCTCAAAAGAGAGAACTCTTAAAAATGTACAATTTTTTCAGGGGGAACAAGCTTGACTTTTTTTTTTTTTCCTTTTGTCTCCACTCCCAAAATGTAAACTTTTGGGTAAAGTGAAAGTATTAGTAAAGACTGAGAAGTGCTCGGTAGCATTTGTAGTTGCATGGACTGAATTAATGAGTCCTTAGATTTATTTTTTTATTTTTCTTGCCATGTTTGTATGCTAATATCAGAAGTTCCAAATTTGCTATTTATATTAATGGAAGGAAAATAACTTCAGTAATTAGCAATAGCAGCACCACACATTGTACATTGTTGATTCTTCTTCTGCATTAGATTTATGCATTTCTGTCTCAAAAGGTTTCGCTAGAATAACTTCTGATTTGTATCAAGGCAAATGGAGAGAAAAATTAAACCAATAGACGAGTTCCTGTATTTTTGTCTTTGTGTCTGCCACCAGAAATTGAAATACAGCAAAAGATGTTGCCTTGCAAAGACTCTGGATGAAAGAAAAATTGTTGTCTACAGAAAGTATAGTAGCTCTGGGAACAAGAAGGCATAGCTGAAGATTAATAAAGATTTGAAATCTATATGAAGGGGTATTACTTTTTTAAGAGAAGCAGCACTGATATGAAGAGCAGTATATTGGTAGGGTGCAAGTGGTCATTGAGTCTGTCCAAGAAAACCCCAAGGAAGCAGAAGCACTGAAGAAATGTTTGTTTTTAAAAAGGTGAATCATTTTTTTTATGGATGCAGCTTCTTGGCATATATCATAGTTTATTTTGTGAGTTTTGTCACACAGTGCAAAGTCATATTAATTGTATGGCAGAGCATACAGAACTGATAAACCAATGCAAGATCTGGGACAAGTATGTAGTATTAAGTCGAGATAAGTAGCTGAATAAAACAATTACCTTTTAAGATCTTGTCATCTACCAAGGTAGAATACTTGAGTACCTGTTATAGAATGTTTAGGGAACTGTTGGAGAAATACTTACAACAGATTTAAAATGAAAGCTTTTGAATAATAATTTAGTCTTTTGGTTCTGTTAGCATTTTGATATCACTTAACTGTAATTTCAGACTTCAGGACAAAAACAAATGCCTGAATATATTTTATGAGTTTGTCACAAGCTGTGGGAAAATATTCAGGGCATCATTCTTTTGGAAGTGCTACGGGCAAAAGAGTACAGAACTAAGCTTGATAAGATAGAAGATAATTAAAAAATTACCCAGTTTCACAAGAACATTGGGCTTGTGATTACTACTAAGTAGTACCTTTTCTTGTTATTTGCTGTGGAAAGGTAATGACTCTTAATGATTTGTCAGACATTTTGGGAATCCATGGACATGATCAGGAAGAAGGTATGCTTTGTTAGGACTTTGGAGATTTGGGCTCTGATAATGGAGAACATATGTTCTACTCACCCCTAAAGACACACATTTTTCATGTTGAACTTGGAGGGGTTTATTTCTTCCTGAGTAAACGCCTACTGCAGCATAATACTGTTTAGTAATGAGTAGTAGCATCATTCTCCTAGATTGTCAAAAAAGGGTGAGGATTGTATGTGTGTAAACAGAGGATGAATTTATTAGAAAATAACAACAGTCCTTTCAATATATTTTTACCTAAGTTACAATAAAAAAAGAGGTTTGTGTCATCACCTCAGAGACTTGATATGAGACTTCAATCCCTCAAGTTTATTTCCTAGACCAAGTTTCCATCTGCTGTCTTCTTTGCATTTGTATGTATGTTTGCATAGGTATTTATTTCTAGACAGATACATGTGCTCATGTATTTGTTACCAAATTTTGTACATAGTACTGCCAGGACAAATTGGAAATAATTTTGCTGTATTTCTTTGGTAGTTCTGACTCCACAGGCTTTACCAATATTCTAAGTATTTAGATGGTTTTGTTAGGGATTATTTCCTGTTAGCACCCCCTAATTTTGTATGTTACTTTTCAAGAAGGTCCATAATTTATAGTGCAGATTGAAACTAGAGACAATTTCTAATAATCCTGCTTTTCTTCTTCAGTGGTAACTTTGTTTACACTTGTGGTAACATTAAGATCTTTTTATCAGTTTCTCTGAAAAGCAAATTCCTTCTCTCCTTCCCATTCTGTCACCTGCCATCAGATTCTGAATCTGTCATGCTGGTTAACTAGTCATCATTTAAAAAGTATATATATATTCTTAAGATTGTATCTGAAAATATAAAAATTAAAGCTTTCTTCAAAATTATCCTAATTAAATAGATATTATAATGTGAAATTTTTAATGAAATATTATTGAATTGGGGTAAGCATAGTGTGAAATAAGGACGCATATTTTATTTAAAACCCAAGTTTATTACTTCATTTTCTGTCATAATACCATATTTAACACTGTTTGTCTTTGAACACACTTTATCATCTTTCATTTGTAATTTACTCAGTGCTCTTATTTATTCTCATTCATTCACCATTGTCTTTAAGGTCTTCCCCAATAAATCAACAATAATGTTTTCTTCCTACATCATCACTTAAGTTCATTCACATGGATACAGATTTTATTAAAATACCCATCTTTGAATATTTTGGAAGTTTACTGTCTTTTCTATTTATATGTTGTTCAAGTGTCCCAGGTTCCATCACTAATAAGTGGTTTCACTGGTAGAATGGATGTTAGGTATTTTGTTTAGCAGTGTCTTTTAGCATGAAAAGTAAGTAATATGCCGATGCATGTTGAGATCTGTATACTTTACATTTAAAAGTAAGGGTTTTTCCTGTTTTAGCTTATTTCAGGAACTGAGGTTGTCTTGTTTTTACATCTTCCCTGCCTTCTCTGTGGTACTTGTTTTTTCAAATCAGATATACATCTTGGTGCTACGGCCAGTATGAAAAATTGGTCCTGTTAATCCCATTCACTGTATATGAGCTATCTGCAAACATAGAAAACGAAATAAATTTTACTATTTTGTTTGTTTTGAATTAGGCTCATGCACAGTTAGTTCGAGAAGTCGATGTAGAGAAGGTGTCAACTTTTGAGAATCCTTATGTAGATGCAATAAGAAGCTTATGGAGTGACCCTGGAATTCAGGAGTGTTATGATAGACGACGGGAGTATCAGTTGTCAGATTCAACTAAATAGTAAGTACATGGTGGCTACAAAAAACAATGTATCATTCTCTCTTTCTAACAAAGTAATTTTTACCTTTTAGGTTCTTATACTATACATCTGTTTACATATTTGTATGCACATGCAGCACAACCATACCTGAATATACACTTAATAAATTGTTTTTAGAGGACACTTTGAGGGGAGGAGTACACCTAGTTCAGGATTATGTCCATGGTTTTTTTGCAGGGTGTCAGTCTGTGATCATCTGAAGATTCTAACTAGGGATGGTTAGTTACTGATGGTATTGTTTTCTTTTCTTACACGTGTTCAAGCCCTTACTGTCCTTTGACATACACTCACAAATGCAAGCTGGAAATCAGAGGTCTGGGGTGACATTTTTGTGCAGAGTAGTTTGAGGGTTCTGGCCTCGCACAAGACTTTATATGTGATTTAGTCAAGATGAACTCATTTGTATCTTGCTGATGCAATTTAGTCAGCTGAAAAACAACAGATACATGATGTAGCTCTTCTCTGATTTGCTCCAGTGCTGTCACCACACCATGTTCTTCTGCCACATTTGCCCTATGCATAGGTTCCTGTTATCCTATGCAGTTTGCTGTCCTGTGTGCTTGTTAGCTTCCCAGCCTATCATTTTTATCATTTCTGTATGCATGCTTTGGTGCACAGTAGTGCAAAGCACAGTGGGATCTCTCTTAATTGGATTCTCACTTTCCCCATAAAGGTACAATACTGTGTTTTGTTCTTTAGTGTTAAGAAAATAAATAGAATATTACATAAAGTGAAAAACTGTAGGGTACATAAAAGGTGAATATTTAAGAAACAAGTTACTGACAATGTACATTCATATTGTTTCCTTACTGAAACAAGTAGCAAGCATAAGTGGAAGGTGAAACAAAGCTTGTCTTACACTTTGGATTTCTTAAATTTCTAGGTCCTAACTTTTTGTTTCCACAAAAGATGTGATGCCATTTTTAAAGTTGAAATACACAGAGGTAGTCTGTGTGTGTTAGAGGACAAAAATAGAATTACTTACTCTCCAAAGGAGGAAATAGTCATCTAATGCTACTTCAGATCAGATTGTGCTGAATACCATAGTTTTGACATAGTTCAAATTAAATTGTCATCATGTGTATCTTTTTTATTAGAAATAGTAGGAATAATTCACTAAGCTGTAGAAGCAAACTGCCAGGCAAATACTAGTTAATTGGTTACTTTTCAAGCTCAGCTTGTTTGACAATTTCACATGAGTTTTTGCAGATTTGGTAACATTAATCTGTTATAGTTTATAATACGGATTTCTGCAAAATCTGCTTTAAATGAGAATGGTGAATCACTGCGTATAAGTCTTTAGAAAGTCCTCCCTTATATTTGTGCTTGCAGGTAGGGTTTTTTCCCATAAAAGCAATTAGCAAAAACTAAAGGAATGTTGTTCCAAAAATATGGTATGTATGTTTAGCAAGAAAACACCCAAACAGAATTTTCTGTCTGTAATTCCTGTCCCAAAGCAAGAAAACAAAATGCTTAAAAGTTACTACTGAGATTCACAAGGCAGTAAACGAGAATAAACTCCCTTGTGCCCACTGATGTTGTGAGTCTTGATAATTTCTTCTGACCTGATGGATAAACCAAAATGGGTTGTGGTCCACCAGGTCTCTTGTAAGCACATGTGTCAATATACTTTGTGAGAATGTGTTAGTGTTTTTAAACATGTGTCAATATCACACGTTATTCATGCATCTCTTGCATGAGACTCATCTTCCCAGCAGTTTTTCCCGTGGTTTTTATAGTAGTAGTGTTTCCAGTCTGTTCCCTATATTGCTGCTTTTTTTTTTTTTTTTTTGGCACATTGTGTTCCTAAATCTTTTCCTCTAAATTTTATCCCCTTTTTTTTAAATAGTTTCTAAACTCTTGTTTTTTAATATACCCTGTATGTTTCTATACTTTGTCATCTGTTGATCTGCTTTGTCACTGCTTTTGATGTTTTTACACCCACTGCTAGTACCCTGAAAGAATACATCAGTTGTGTGTTTGTCACAAGATGTGAGGGCAGGGTCTAAGAAAGAAAACTTCCTGCAGCCTAGAGGTTGATTTGAACCACTTAGCAGCTCAGGAAATGCATTCCATTCTCTTACCTTGCAATTGAATGCTCCAAAGTTCAGATGTTAATGTTGTTCTTAAAAGCAGTTTCTAGATTTCTGTGTGGTAAAGTCAAGAGCACATCAGGTAAGCAGAGATTATTCATTTCCCATATAAATTACAGGATGACTAAGCCACCTACTTACCACTAAACCACTTCCCTCTAAGATACTATTCACTGTGTGAGACAGCTATAAACCAACACCACGTTGCTGATTGCCTTAAGTAATAGATGTGTGAGATGAAATCATTCAGTATGTACTCTACAGGGTGTCAGGACCGTAACCCAAATGTAAACAGGTTACCAGTCAACAGTCTGATTATGTCATGGCTTTTCAAAGTCTGAAGAAGGGGGAGTCAACAGACTCCCTGTTGTCATAAGTAAGAGTTCACATTTGTGTCTTCAGAATATATCACTGATTTTTTTACATGAAAGACAGAGTTGAATCCTAACGATGTCTGCTCATCAAAGTTCATGTTCCACCTTTCCTGAAACCACTGCATGAATTGTAAAGCTTTGGTGGTCAAATAATTTTATATAACGATATGCAGAGTTTGAAAGTTTTTTGTAACTTCAGCTGAACAATTAATTCCTTCATACCTAAAAAAAAAGATAGCATTTTGCTTCCATGTGCCACTTCTGAAACAGGTGCATTTCAGTGGAATTACTGTGTGCTGAATAGGATGTGCTTAGTGGCACACAAGGGGAAGAATCACTGTATGAATCTTTTTCAGTTTTTATACTGTAGCATTGTACTCCATTTGGTGGTACTGCCTCTAGTGGTCAGAACATTTATTCTTTCACTTTGTGAAGCTGGAGGGAATTCTTAATGATATCGTGGGGCTCTGTGAGCCTTTCTGGAGGATTAATACTGTTCTAAATTGGGACCTGCTCTGTGGCTGACACTGGTACAGTAAATTATGAACAACTGCCTATATAATATCTGTGTAATAGTGATTTGTTGGGAGCAAGAATAAATATACTCTAAGATACATAAGAACATCATTATTTAATAAACATTTTAATACAGTTCATTGATTTTTATTTTTTTTTCTTCCTTTCATTTGTAAGAATGCACTTGCAGGTTCTAAAGCTGTATTTGGGGAAAATTTGTGTTGCAGAGTGGTAGATTCTGCTTTTATGTAGCTTTGCAGTAAGATAAAAACAGCAAATAAAAGTCTCAGTGTTAAGCTCAAGTACTAGCAGCAGAACCATGCTAATCCCACCTTACACCTTAGATATCATTCCCAAATATAAAGTAAATGTCTGAAGAAAATAGGACAAGGTCTGCTGCGTACAAAAACTGTGCATCTTGTAGAAAAACTGAAGATTATGCAACACAAGGGAAATGCAGAAAGGGAAGTGGGGTTATATAAAGGAGTATACGCTATGTATTTCTTCCAGGTTCCTTTTTTTTTTTCATGCAGTACTGAACATACTTTTAATATTTTTGTATTTCTTAAACCACATTTCCTATTAAGAAAAGATTGCACAAGCATTTTTTATTTGATTACTTACTTGTTTGTAGCGTTTGCTAAGGTTGGCTTTTAGCCATGTAGGAAATTGAGAGAGACAGCTAGGTAGGATTTGAGTAGGATAAAGATAAAAATAATACAGTGCAGACTCCTTCATACCTCACTGCAATGATCTTAGGTTTACTCTGTTTACATTAAAATTAGGTCTGGAAACTGGTAAATGTGCCTTGACTTTCCACCAATGGTGTACAGGCTCAGAAATGCAAACCTACAGAGAAGTTCTGAAAATTAGGCCAATACTTATTTACACTTAATTTGGTTTACAGCTTATGTTTGTACTCGGAAAATTGATTCAGTTTACTGTGCTGCTGCTGCACGTTAGCAAAGAGGCCACTTGTGTCAGTTACTCTGGCAGTTCTGTGAGGTCGGAAAAATCCTGCTACAGCAGCTTTAACATTTTGCAAATGTGGAATTGAAAGACAATCAAGTAGTATGCATTTAAAAAAAAATGTAGAAAAAGGCTTTTCCTTTTCAAAGCTTGTTTTCCAGCACATGGCCAAATTTTCGGGTAGTCTCATCAGCCAGTTAAGAGTTTTGCAAAACAAACAAAAAACCTCCCAAAAACCACATCAACCCCCACAACAGGATGGAGAGTAGCCCAAACCAATTCCAGAACAGCCAGGCTGCAAAGGACAGAGATATGCCAAATATTACTTGTTTACATCATTAGCCTTAGTCATAGAATTTGGTTAGGATTTTATTTTCACTTTCAGAGTCTGTATGTGCATGAAAGCATTTTATTAGAGGGTCATGCTGCTTATGAACTATCCTATCTTTAAGGATTTTTTTTTCTGTTTTGCATTAAACCTGCAAGCTTTAGGGTTGAAAAGATGTAAATGTTTGTGGTTACTGTCATACCTGGAAAAAGTCAGCCATGTGGTATCTGGCTTATGCATGGCTGAATACAGTGAAAACATTTGCATATTAAGTGTCGCTGGTAAGCTTTGATTTTATAGCTGTGATTACACTGAAATCTTTCAACAAGCTGTATGTTAAACAGCAAACTTTTGTAGTTTCTTGAGGCTTGACCCTTCTGTTTTCCCCTGTACTCTCGTTCTCTCCATACAGATCAAGAAACTGTCTTGTTTGCTGGCTAGTTGGTAACAAGTCATCTTTCCTGGTTTTAGACTGACCAACCAACTCTTTTATCAGTGCCAAGTAATTACCTCTGTCTCAATATAGAATCATAGAACTCTAGAATAGTTACACTTGGAAGGGACCTTAAGATCATCTAGTTCCAGCCCCCTTCCATTTTTGGTTTTGTTTAGTGATTTCGCTGGGAGTGTTTCTCGGTGTGGTGCCAGGCAGAGCCTTTCTCTTCAGCAGTTAAGTTTAGAAGACAGTCTGTGCTCACAGGGTCTCATAGGCAGACTGCCTCTAAGCACAGGGTGTGTTAAGGTCCTAGTGAATTCTGCATCTTGGTACATCAGTTTTGCCTGCTGAGTCTGGGAATAGTTGTTGGGCAGCACTGATGAACAGAGCAATCCAATCTTTAACCTTTGAAAGGGAAGCAAATGTTAGATGGATGAAGATTGTAGCTTTTCTGCCTTTGTCTGTCCATGCCATACTGCCTTCTTTTGATTAATTAGGCTTTCCAGTAAACGGTTTGAAGTTACAGAAATCCCTCTTAATGGAATCATTCTTGAGAAAATCCTACTTTATCACCTGATTACTTACCACAAAAATCTGGCCTTTAAGATGCTGGAAAATAGTAGCTCATAGCTAGTGGAGGGTGTTTGAAGTTCCTGCCCCAGGTTTTTTTATGTTGAAGGTGCTTTAGGACCTCATTACCAGAACGCAAATTCAAATAAGTTTTGATCATCAGTTTTTGTTAGGTGATGTAGTTTTTGGAAGTGAATTAAGACTGGATGTTGAGTAACCTGTTCATGGTAATGAAGTTGTATTTAACCTCTTGAAGGTTATTGTTTAAACAATTCTGGTCTGTTTGTTAAGGCTAGGAGCCTTACCTCTCTGCTTGATTCTTCTATGAGAAAGGGAAGTACAGAGCCAGTCAGGCTACTCCCATGATCCCACTCCTGCTGTTTAGTTTGAAATGTGCACAAACAGTACCTTTGAAATGTGCTCCCTTTTAAGGGCCTTGTTAGCACCTCCATAACCTGGCAGCAGGCTTGGATCTTGTCATAGGTCACAAGTGATGTGAAATACCTTAAAAATAAGTGCTTCTCTCTCAGTGCTGACTGGGAAACAAAAGGCTTCCTCTGCTTCTGGTCAGCATGTATATCACAAGCATGCTGCTGGGCAGGCAGTGGCAGTTTTCCTGACATCAGGAGAGGGCCATGCCAGCAGCACCTTACACGCTCATTGCCTCAGTAATGCACTGCATGCCTGTTGCTATAGCAACCCCTGGGAAAATTACCTCAGTGGCCACTAAAATCCATTTTTACATAAGTAATTTACAAAATTAAGTTTTTAAACTTAGTATGCACTATATAAAAATTTGCTCAGACCTATGTGGTTTGGCTCATTTGGGCTGGCGGGTTTTTTGTGTGTGATTTTTTTGAGGGGGGGTGTATTTTGTTTTTTGGTTGGGGTTTTTTTTGGTGTTGGGGTTTTCTCGTGGTTTTTTTTGTTTGTTTGTTTTTCTGTTGTGTGGGTTTTGTTTGGTTTGGGGTTTTTTTTATTATTTTTGGGGTTTTTTTGTAGTAATTTTGTGCCTAGACGAGTAGTTAATGTTTGGGTGAGAGGCCATATAGCTACAGTGTGTCTCATCAAAGTTAAGACACTTAGCAGGTGCTCAGCATGCCATATGTTTGAGACCTTTATGGCTTGCCCCTAAAGGTTACTGCTTGCCTGTAAAGTTGCTGCTGCCTTTACGGCTGAACTCCCCATGGTAACTCTGGTGGTGGTTACCTGCTTTTCGATTGGCCGCAGGAGTGGTGCCAGGGTATTTCCAATGCCTGTATCATTATTATAGTTTTTAAATTTTGAAGTTGTTAAGCTGAGGAAACATCTGCTTTGGGCAGTTGTTGGCAGCAGTCTTTTTGTGGAAGTTCATGTTTATGACAAATCTTGTGGTTTGCTTGCAAGAGCGCACATGCAGCCATTTCTAGTGTGCACTGAAAATTTAGTGTCATTGCAGAGTCTGAGCGCAGTACTTGTGCATACATTTTGAGTTAGGCACTGTTCCTGAAGTACCTAGTGAGTATCTTTTGTGTGCTTAATTTTTTTTGCATAGGCACAGGATTTATTTGCCCAGGCGAACAATATATTTGTCAGTACTTGCTTTAAAGCAATGGTGAATCATTTATTTAATAAGCAGATGTACAAAAAAATCAGTGAAAACCTTCATTTTCTTTCACTCCTCACCCATCTGAATTCAGAGACTCAAGCCATTGCACATAGCCCTGGCTTCATAAAGTTCCCTTCATAAATTTCTCTTATCTGCTTGCAGATAAGTCAGTGGAGGAAGTAACTCCACCCTGCTTTCCTGTGAGAGCTTATGGACTTCCCACACCCCAGGCTGTATCCATTAAATAAACTAGATTAATTTGAGCAATTTTAATAGTCTTTCTTCACTATTCCAAATAATTTTAATAGGAATGTGTTAGCATTTTTAGAGATTTTAGAGTATCTTGAAGGGAGCTTTGTGTTGCTGATGAAGGCAAAGCCTTCAGTCTGATTTTCAGAAACATATTTACTCAATGAAGTTGATAGCAGAATGTGAAGTTACATATCCTCGTACAGTAACAGAAAGTGTATCTGATCTGCAGAACTCTGAAGTCAGTAGCAGAAAATGCCTGCTCATTTGCTTCAGAGCAACAATGCACAAACTTCATTAAAATTGAATTCCAGCACAAATAATTTTCAACAGTAGTGTCTTTGCTTAAAAAAAGGACAAAACAAAAAACAACCAAACCACAACAAATCAAAACTTGAAAGAAATTATTTTTTTTTTCCACTTAAAAAGAATTTTATTAACTGTCTGCGGTATGGTCACAGCATGAAAATAGCAATCATAAAAGATTTAAAAGTAAGGTTGCACAACAAAGAACTGGGACATTTTTATTTAAATAAATGGATAAGTTTTAAGTTAGAAGGGAAAGTAGTGGGGCTAAATGTCATTATTTGAAAACAAAAAATGCAGGATGTATTCTAAATTGCTTTTGTTGGACTGTAGATTCTGGTTATGATTCATCAGTGTCAGAAAGATTTTAAAGGATTTTCTGCATGCTATGTGATTTTGGTTTGGTTTGGGGATTTTTTTCTGTGTGGTGCTATTAGTAGTTTTGATACTGCTTTCTTGATTTTGGCTTTGAGTGTATAATTCAGGACATTAATTCTTAGAGAGCCCAACATTCTTTGATTTCTAAGCAAAGAAATCTAGGGAAAGAAATAGGACTCCTTCAGGATATATAAGGAGTCTTCTATGGACTATATGGGCTCTGTAAAATGCTAACACTGAAGTGAGGGGAAGGTTGCTGTTCAGGAACTGAGTGAGCTAACTTGAGCAGAATTGAATGAGGATGAGGAAAAAATAAGTATTTTTAAGGATAAATTAATGCTTCTGGAACTTAGTGGCATCAGTGATTTGTGTTAGGACAAAAAAAAAAATACTCATCTGCCCAATTAATGGCTTCCAGTAACACAAGTGAGATTTAACAGTGTACTATTATCTCTTTGTTTTATTGCCTTTCTAAAATCAGTCAGATGTGCATTATAGGTTACCTTAGTAATATGTCTGCTGTGCACAGGTGCAGTCACCAGGCTCACACAGAAGATCAAAACTGGAGCTTGCCAAAGGAATGCAACAAAATGGTTGTGTAAATGGTTATCTGTAGGTTAATTTGTCTTCTCAGTGGCTAACTGTAGGTCATTCTTGGCCTGGGAAGTAACTAAATGGCCAAGAACTTCATGTCCTGCAGCAGTCTCTCTCAGATACCTAACATGGGGAGAGCCCAAGCTTCCTGGTGCACTAATTTAATAAGATATCATAGAACCATAGGACCGTTTGGGTTGGAAGGGACCTTACACATCATCTAGTTCCAGCCCCCTTGCCATGGACAGGGACAGCTTCTGCTAGACCAGGTTGCTCAAAGTCCTGTCCAACCTGACCTTTGAATGCTTCCAGGGATGGGGAATCCACAGCTTCTCTGAACAATGGCTTCCAGTGTTTCACTGTCGTCATAGTGAAGAACTTCTTCCTAATGTCTAATCTAAATCTTCCCTCTTTCAGTTTAAAACCATTCCCCATGTCCTGTTACTACACGCCCTTGTAAGATGCCCCTCTCCATATTTCTTGTAGGCCCTCTTTAGGTACTGGAAGACTGCTACAAGGTCTCCCCTGAGCTTTCTTTTCTCCAGGCTGAAAAAGCCCTGCTTGTCCAGCTCCTGGACCCTAACAGGCTATAACACACTTGGTATACACTTCCTTTTTTGAAGCATCTCTTGTATAAGAATTAAGTAAAATCTCCAGTACTCCATTGCTATATGATTGAAACCCATCATTAAGCAATAGCATAAGATTTTTGTGTTGTAGCTAATGAAAATTTACAAGCAGTTTTAAGCAATTTGGTGTTATTTACTAACCAGCTGGCATGTATTTCATGTACTACAGGCTTATTAACTTAATCAGAAGTTTTGAGTGGGTATGCAGGACTTTCAGGTGCCACAGATCTATTCTATAGCACTTTACTGTGGCTTGGGACATTCATGGTTGTCTGTCCGTGTGTGTGTGTGTAGACACTGCAGAATGATTAAGAAGTATGTTGCATATTCAAATAAGACTGCAATTTTATATTTCTCAGGCATCTTATAATATTCTTTGTCTCTACATTGCCTAGAATTATATAAAGAAAAATTTGAATCTTTGGTGAATATACATGCGAAAGCTATTTTCAAACTTGTTGGGAAATAAAATGTAATAATTACACTCCCCTTCTATAGAATTTACTTGAAGCTATGGGAGAGTACAGGAAAAGGGGATGGAGCACATTTTTTTTACTTTGCCCCCTCTTTTATGCCAATAATACTTTTTTTTTTTTTGTTGCACTTCTTCCTACCCCACAACCCCTTTCCCTTCCCAAGTTTTCCTTTATCTTTTCCTCAGTCAGATGATGGTGTCACTGTCTTGCATTCCTTTTGTTTCTCCCTGTCAATAGCTATCTTAATGACTTGGATCGCATAGCAGATTCCACCTACCTGCCAACTCAGCAAGATGTGCTCAGAGTTCGAGTCCCAACAACAGGGATCATTGAATATCCATTCGACTTACAAAGTGTCATTTTCAGGTAGTTTATTCTGTTTCTTTTTACATTAGTAATATCATGTATACGATACTGGTTAAAAGTGCATAAAAAGAAATCAGTCTGTGTTTTTAAAATTTGAGCTTTGTCATTATTTTTTCATGTAATTGTTCACATATAACAAGGAGTTGATGCTAAAGATGTTAAAAGGGTGAAAGACAATCAGGTTTGTCTCCTGAAAACTTGGCAATTCATCTTTTCAGTAGTATGTGTCAAAGTTTCACTGTGAATAATAATATGAAAATACAGTCAGGTAGCCTCTTAATTCATGTAAATTATGGAATACAGTGCTTCCACTTGTGTAGCTGATTTTTAGGGAGAAATTGTTCTTTACAGATAAATAACCGTACTTGAGTGCAAGTACAGTTGTTTGAAAAATAACTGTGGAGTTGCAGTTGCAGGTTAGACACCTGTGTTTAGTTACACTGAGATACAGGGTGAGGTGGGAATAGAATGTGTGCAAATTTGCATTTTAATTTGGTCTGTTAAAAATTTTAGTAGGTACAGGTAGTTTATTTGTTCTCTTAAAATGGGCAGCTTTACCAGGTTGGGAAGTTATACTCGCTGGGGGAGGGGAGGGGGGGGGCACAGAGTCTGTTCTGTTCGCATATGTTTTAGCTGAATACACTGGGCATACACTGCCAAATCATAGCTCACGAGACCTTTGTATCTCAGAAATCTGAGGGGTTTGAGGCCCACGATAATCTAAATACAGTAAACACATCAGACTTCAAAGAAATATATTCTTCTTCAGCAAACTTTCTACCTAGAACATATTCCATTAAATATCAATAAAAAAAAAGACATTTATGAAAACAAACTGAACTTTGTTTTCAACTAAATTCTTGAACTTTGTCACTGTGTGTGTGCTTGTGTGTTTATCTGTTAAGGTGTTCATGGAGTTGATGTGGATGTTAATTTTGCAGAATGGTGGATGTAGGAGGCCAACGATCAGAAAGAAGAAAATGGATACATTGCTTCGAAAACGTCACATCTATCATGTTCCTAGTAGCTCTTAGTGAATATGACCAAGTGCTTGTGGAGTCAGATAATGAGGTAAGCAAGCATCAGCAAAAACCACCAGTTTTAATGAAAAAATAACTTCACTTGTCCAGTCCTGGGTGTCTTCCAAATGTGTCTACAACCAGGCATGCACAACTGCCCTTAATAGAGTGAGAAGCACTACAGGGATGAAGATGGGAGGAGAGGATCAGTCTTCAAATATGGCAGAGCTGATGAGCTCTACGGAGGATTCAGAGAAACCTATCTTTTTTTGTGTTGAAGGGGGATACAACTGAATATAGAGAAATGATCTTAGTGTTGCTGTGTAGCAGGGCCACAAAAATAGGCAGTGAAAATGAAGACAAAATTTATAGATTCCTTGCCCTCAGCAAGTTTGCTGATGACACCAAGCTCTGTGGTTCAGTTGATATGCTAGAGGGAAGGAATGCCATCCAGAGGGACCTTGGCACGCTTGTGAGGTGGACTGATGCCAGCCTAATGAAGTTCAACAATGCAAAGTGCAAGGTCCTACACTTGGTTCGGGGCAATCCCTGACACAGCTACAGGCTGGGTGGAGAAGAGATTCAGAGCAGCACTGCAGAGGACCTGGGGGTGTTGGCTGATAAGAAGCTCAACATGAGCCAGCTTCAATATGCCCTCACAGCCCAGAAACCAGCCATATCCTGGGCTGCATCACACTGCATGGAGCAGGACCAGCAGGTCAAAGGAGCTGGTCCTGCCCCTCTGCTCTGCTGTCATGAGGCCCCACTTGGAGCACTGTATGCGTACAGTTCTGGTGTCCTCAACATAGAAAGGAAATGGAGCTGTTGGAGCAAGTGCAGAGGATGGCCACAAAGATGATAAGGGGGCTGGAGCACCTCCCATATGAAGACAGGCTGAGAAAACTGAGGCTGTCCAGTGTGAGGCATTCCTGCCTGTGGCTTGGGGGTTGGAAACAGATGGCCTTAAGGTCCTTTCTAACCCCAACTGTTCCATGATTCTATGCTAGAATGGACCCTAAAGCAGTAAACTTAATTCCTTACACTTAAATCATAGGATGTGTGTTGTATTTTTATTTCAAAAAGAGAGGTAAGAAAGTCAATGAGCTGAAGGGGCAAAGCACACTTGTATCCAGTATTTTGAAGGAAGCTTACAGTGTAGGGAAATTATTTAATATTTAGATTTTTTGTCTTTTCTGACAGCTAGTGTAAGTTATTCATCAAGCTTCTGCAAGTTACTCACTGGCACGGTCCTATGCAAGTCTTTTAACACATACTTCTAAAAGCTAGGTGAAAAAAAGAAAACATTTGAATATTCTTTATGGCTGCATACATGTTGATCTTTCTGTATAAGAGAATGGTTGAAATAACAAGGCAAAAGCGTGTTCCTGGACATGCATGTTATGTAACTTCTTAAATTGTTTTGAAGAAGATAGCTTTATGCATAAAACTGTTTTGGTTTTTCAAGATTTCACTTCTGAAACACTTCGTGGAAGCAAAAGTTGTAAAACTTCTCATTGTCTTGCAGATGGTTCTTCCACATCACTGCTAAAGTATTAATGTTTCTTACCAACATTAACAGTGGAAAACTTCTGAACCTTTCTGAACTTTCAGGTTAAAATATATTCATAACTTTAATTCAGACCAGTTCTTGTTTTCAAGTCATATGTACCCTAGTAGCACTTTCCAGCAGCCTTAGGCCTGGAATGGAGCCAGACTCTCTTAGAGCTAAGCAGTCATCTGGGCAGCTTAGTTTCGGCTTTCGGCAAGCTGTAGCCCGTCTATCTGGATTTTATTGGTATTCCAGAACACTGGTTTATTCCCTTCCTTATAATTCGTGTATGTACTGATCGCATATTGCATTTCTGTCTGAAAATGTTTGTAATGTATGGAGCAGGCTGGAATGGCTTAAGGATTCTGAGTTTTTAAAATAATAGCGAAATTGATTCCTTGGATTACGAAATTTTAGATACGCACCTTCAAGCTATGCCTAATATTGCCATTACTTTGTCTGTGTTTTCCTTTCACATGTTACACTGTTATCTAGGATCAGTCTTTTCTGTCTTCTTGAAAACAATCTCGGTCAATGGATATCCACAGAAATTACGTCATGAAAATAATTTTTCCACCTTCTTGCTTTTGCCTTGCTTTTATCAATCCACTGGCTTTCACTGCCTTACCACATGTAATCCTTGGTCTGCTTTAAGACCTGTATTATCTAACCTGATATGTTAACCAGGTTTTTTGTTTTGGTTTGGTTTTTTGTGACAGTCTTGACCAGTCATTTTTAAAACAGTCACATACTTTTGCATGTGTCACTGCTCTCATTCTGAACAGAAAGCGTTCCCCACAAGCTTGTCTAAACCTGCTCTGTTGCTGCTGTGTAATGTGCAGTGGTGTAGCAGCCAAAGTTGTGTGAAGACTGCTGCTTGCACTGTTGAGAATCCTGCTGCTATGACTTTATGCTCTCTCATTCTGTGTTCAGCATCTGTTGTCTTACAGATTTATCCTGCATTTATAAACTTTCAAAGCAGTGGCTGTTACTTAGGATTAAAGTGCAGCTGTGATCCCCATTAAGTCTTGTAGGTTTCTGAAATGTAGAACAGCAGATTCATTTGCCCGTAGCAGATGTTTGCATGGCAGTAGCAGTGGAAAAACATAACATTTGTATTTTGAGATATGAACAGAACCAGTAGATCTGGAAGTGATTCAAGCCATGGTTCTGAAGGCCATTGGATAAACCTTGCAGCAATTCAGGGGGTACTCAGACAAGTGGAACAGGAGGGACAGAAGGTGGAAGGGACAATGTGACTGGTGGAGTCCCTTTTGGAAGTGGTGTAGAGCTAAATAATCTGGGAAGAAAGTTGTTCTTAAATAAACACTTGTCTGAAACGTTACCACCAGGGAATCATTAAAACTGTCTAGTGACTAAATTGTCTGTAAATACAATGCCCCTCTGTAAAATCGTGTTTAGCTTGGCGTTCACAGATCATAAGGGCTGAAAGATGATAGCTACGTATGAGTGTAGTAGAATTGGTTGCTTAGAGGCATAGGATCTCCATCCCAGAGAGAGATGTACAAATCTTGACTAGACATGGCCATGAGCAACTAGATCTAGTAACAAAGTTAGTGCTGCTGGGAGCAGGATGTTGGACCAGATTACTTCCACAGGTCCTTTCCACTACAAATTCTCTCTAAATAGAAAAATAATTGTTTGACAAATAAAAGATTTTTTTGTTTGTTTCTTTGGGGAACATTCTTGTGGACATGTCATAAGCTTTAAACCCCTGAAGAATCAAGCTTTATTTGATGCTGGATATCTGAATTAGTGTAATTACTTCCACAGTACTTAATTTACACTGAAGAACTGTCTTGTGATTTTATCGTTAACATTTCATGAAGTCAAAACAGGCAGTTTAGAAAATTATGGCTCAGTACCTCAGCTGTAACTGCAAATTGAAACTGTGAAGGAACTTTGTAGGGTGGTTTTCTGTGACACTTCTGTTCTTCAAGCACTGAATAAAGGCACTGTGCAAGGATATCAGTTCTTTTAATTGGTGGAAATTTTTTATATTCTTAGGATGTTCCAAGTAGAAAGGATCGATGCTGCTTGGTTTGTTAAAAAGTATTAAAGAATAATGCATTTTAAATTACATTAAAATAGTTAAACCTACGATAGGTATTTTTACTGTGTTTGCATTTGTGTGTGTATGCAGGTTAATTAATGTAGGCATACAAACTCATGTCATGGATGGAATGCATCTGCAGAATAGATAGATGGAACTTCCGTACCATTCATCAGTGCAATCGGTTAATGGGTGATACACTGGTACAGTGTTCCAGTCACACTTTCTTTTGATGTGGGACAAAAATAAGAAAGGAGGCAATTATCTCAAGCATGTATTCTACTTTTTCATTGGAACTATCTTGTTGTTCACATCTGGGCATGATTCCACTTCTGTTCCTGCACTTTGTGTTCCTTACTCACAGCTTAGTCCTATATGGCTTAGCATGAGGGCTGAAAGAAAACAATGTTGAGGTCAGAGCACTTTCTCTTTTTATGCATCATGAATAAACGTAATACTTTAGTTGTCTGGTTTTTTTTCATCAACATTCAGCAATCCAGAACAATTGAGCATAGGTCAGTGGCATAATACGAATTTTCAGATAGAACTGAAGTTCTCAAATGGTCTTCAGAATTGCTTAACAATGTTATTTCCATGGGAAATAAAATCTCCAGAACTCACTGTTTATTTTGAAACTAGAGAAAATAACACATTAACCACCTGTGCCAAACCTTGTTGCTGTATGTATGGTATCTGCTCATACCTGTTCACACATACATGCGTATTTCCTTTTCGGATTGTGGATAAAGAACCTTTTGAATGCAAAGTATCAGTACTGGGAAGGACTTGTATAGGGAAGAGTCAGAGCCTCTCTGTCTTTTTCTTTAAGTGGGTGGTTCATAATGGAAATGGGAGGTTGAATAATTGTGAACATGGTTGCAGAGGCTGCCAGAAACACTGCTGGTAAATGTTGCTGTTGGCAGCAATTGCTGGCAAAGATAACTGCTTCTATTTTTTTTTTCTTTTTCTTTTTTTTCCAGTGATCAGTGAAAAGGACTTTTTTCAATGTCAATTCAATTTTAAAATACTTTCAACTTTTTTTTTAATTGGTACATATTCATGAAAAACTGATTATTCTGGCATTCATGTTCATAAAAATTAACAGCCTTTTTTAATTTATTTATTGAAAGAATATTTTACAGCAATGTTTGACCATGTTTTTGGAGCAACTTTTTAGGCCACTTTTTTGGGGGCAGTGATTTTGTGCTTTGATGGTTGTTGAACATGTTGCTTTGATGGATTATTCCCAAGTTCTGTGTTTGAAGTTGTCTCTTACTGTGTTTGAGTTACTCATCAAAATATTTGTACAACCACTGCAGATTTTTTTCTTTGATAGTAGTCTTAAATAGATTTTTCTTAGGCTAGTTACAGCAGTGTAGCTTCAAGATTATACGTAGTGCTAGTGGCAAAAATCTGAAGCATTTCCAAT